AGGTATAATCAGAAATAAAAAACCTTTTTGCACATCTCATTCACACATGTTTTGATTTACATAACCTTACACAGCAAATGCAAAATTAACTGAAAGGAAAAAGAACCACCTGGTGGATTATAGGCAGGACTGGAAAACCACAGAATCTGCAGTCACTTTTATCCATTTTATTTGAAAGCTGAAACAAGCTACTTTTGGGAGGGGAGAATGTCTATTTAAGAACTTCAAGAAAGATAGTCAATTTAGCAATCATATTCCCATTTCATTGTCCCTATTACATAATAGCAATTCCAAAATCTATCAAGTAGTATTTTCCCCAGGACTTCAGAAATTTTGGATTCTGGTTTAAAAAAAAGAAAAATCACAAAGCTATCAACATAAGTAGCTTGTAACAAAAAATAGTTGATTATTTATTTCACATTTAAAGTCTTCAGTGAGCAATTTCCAATACCTCTAAAGTCCATTAAACTGGGGAAAAAAGCAGGTGGCAGTACTGCAATAAACCACTAAGAAAATTTATGCAAAATTCTTGCATTCAAGGAACAATAAAAGGACATGGCAACACATATGACTAAGAACAGGAAATAGAGAGTGGGATAATGCTATGAAGCTCTTGAACTTTTAAAGACTGTGAAATGATTCATGCAGATGTTCCAAATGGAAAACCTTTCCATCAAAAAACCTGCATAACAGGGTTGAGAAATGACTCATCAAATGGGTACGAACTAATAGGGCACTAATAGATACAGCTACCAAGTTCTCCGCTTTGAGATAATGAATGAAACAATAATTAATACTTACATGTGGAAGGAGGTGTAAGAAAGCATCTCCACTCAAGGTCCCCACAGCCAATGCCACAAGAAAACTCAGAAGAAATTTGAAAAATACTCGATTCATCAGTGGTACCAATATAACACCGAGCAAGGAAAGAAAGCTGATGACGGAGATGGATATAAAGCCACCAATCCAAGCTGGCAAAAAAAATAAAATAGTAACAGCAATAAGTAACAGCTGTATATGATTTTGTTTGCTTAACATTTTTGTTATCAAACACACTTGATCATTAAATTAATCAGATGTTAACAAAAGGTATGCCACAAAGATTTTTCTCTAATCTTGGTGAAGCGCCAAAAGAAAATGACACTTCTTACAACTATGAAATAGGTTTCTTGGATTTATAACCAACGTAAACACTTTCCATTAAGCTTCAATGTTACAAAAAAAAAAAAAAAAAAAAAAAAAAAAAAAAAAAAAAAAAAAAAAAAAAAAAAAAAAAAAAACACCAAAAAAAAAAAAAACCCAAAACAAAAACAGCCTACCTATTTGCAGAGAATAACTTTTTGGAGGAGTTTCAGCTTTTTCACTAGTAGCATGGACTATGCAGTACTTGCCATCAATCTGGTTAATAAGAGCTGGACAGAGATAACTAAATTCTGTAGCAGTCAACAATACTTGAGTGCCTATTCCATGCGACTGCATCAGTTTGGATGCATTGGAGCACTGTGGAAAGAGACACGTTAAAGATTAACCAGAAACAAAATACCACGATCCATCTTAAAAGGACTGCACATCCCATCTTAATTGAAATGCAGTGGCACCACATGAAAGCAGCTACATCAACATAACTCAAAAACTGTTAACAAACCCATTGAGTAAAAAATGTACTTCCACCCTAATCCTGCTTCAGAAAGTTGGTTTGGGAGTCTGGGTAGATGACATGTAATTATTCTCAGCACAAATGGGTCAGACGCTTTGATGTACAAATAGAAAAAGCCTAACGCTTTTCAGTCAGTTTTAAAGGCCACATAAGGAAGCATTAACAAGGTCAAATGCCGTTTTGTAGCACTAACTGCTGTACATCGTGTACATACACTCCCTCGAGTAAATAGCTCCCCACTGCACAACCTACACAAAGTCTCAGTGGGTTTAAAGAACAGCAGTACTTCTGCTTCAACAGTGCAGAACACAGCAACAACTCGTGAACTCAGCACCCACCATTACATGCCACACAACACCCACTCGGAGTTACCTGGCATGGCTGCAAACATTGCAAGATCCTGCTTGCTTTTTAAAGCCTTTAACAGAAAAGGATCTGACTGTTTAAGAAAAATGTCTACAACACAGATATACTCTTTATCAGTGCTAATTTTACACTATTTTGAAGTAACATGTGACATTTTGCCACGATCCTTTTCAGAGTTGTTTACATCCCGTTGTTAGATGGGGAGGGGAAGGTGTTAAGTGGAAGACGGTTTGACACTATCACAATGTGAGACAGCTTTCGTAAGAATCACAGTACCTTAATTGGATTTTTTTACTCCATTAATAGGAAAACAAGACAGGCTCCAGATCTAAGGCAGATCTGCAAGTTTAAAACTGTAGCTGTTTTTCAGGTTTAGTAACTATTTAATATTTAGTAGCAGTTAAATATATAAATCATAAATGCATTAAACCAAGTGTACATTTATACTTAATTTTCCTCTGAGCTTGTGAACACAACACCATATTCCCTCAAAATGTTAAGTTCCAAGGAAAGTTGTTTGCATGCATTTGGCTATGGGTATTGTTACACCACAAAACTTGCACCCAGGTAAACAATAAGCATCTGAAAAATAAGCCATGACAATATTCCTGATGGATCTGGATTCCTGAGACTACAACAGAACCGGCCTCACCTCTTGAATGCTTTGTTTTTTCAGTTTAGAATAGAGGTAGCTCCCTCTCTCCAACTCCTTTGGAGAAGCACGAGATTCGTTTGCCTTTGTGGCACCCAGCCAGGTGGCATTGCGGCCCCCTGTGACATTAGCGGCACCAGGGCCAGCAGCACCCACTCGAACGACTGTCTTGACTTCCCCGGGCTGCCCGCTCTGGAGCTCGGCGTGGCCGCCTGCGGAAGCGGCGATGACGGACGCCGTGATCTCATGGAGCGCGTTCTTGCTGCGCACAAAGTTCTGCTGCCGCTCCACGCTCTCGGCTTTATGAGGCTCCTTCGCGTGGCTGCTCCTGTGGTCTTTGCTAGCATCAGATTCGTGGCTTGGACAAGCAGTCTTCTCGGAGCTTTTACTCAATGAAACATGATTATGATGAGAGCGATGGTCGTGGTCATGGTCATGGTTGTGATGGTCATGATTGTGGTCGTGATCATGGTCATGATCGTGGCTTATTTTAATCCTCTTCATTTTATCTATACCTATGTTCTGTAGCAGTTTTCTAAACCCATCAATTGACAGAGAGTTGTTTTCTCCATAACGATTAAAAAGTTCTTGAAGGTGCAACTTCTGTATTAGTCCTGCCAAGTCAGTATTAACACCCACTGTCTTTTCTGGAAAAGCTCTCTCTGATGTATGCACAACAGTAGCTGTCTCCACCCCATGGTGATAACTTTCACACAGCAGTATGGAAAATGATACAAGAAAAATAACTGATACCGTACTCTCCATTGCAGTTCCTTTTCAGCAGTGAAAATAATCTGAAAAAAGAAGAAAATATCAATGGTTTGCACAAAACCAATCACCTTATCCTCCATAATACACAAAAAAGCCACCACAGCAAACAAAACCAAACCCTACTCAAAGTATGGAAGTGCAGCAAGAGGCATTTAAATTTCTTACACATTCAGCACTTTTCCCAGATGTGTTGCCTCAGGCAACAGAAGAAGCTGAATACCACAGTGAGGTCACTGGCCATGAACACCTCCCCAGGTGCCAGCTTGCTTTTGTTTAGCTCTTTCTGAGTCACTGCTTACATGGGCTACACAATGAGAGCCCTCAAGGGTGCACCAAGTAAGTTCTAGGTTAGAGTTTTCTTGTGCTTAAAATAAACCCTGTAATTTCTGTCTGAGCAATGAATAAGTCATATAAATTACATGATCCTGCTTAAAAACCGAAATTCCCAACCCTTCATCACTGGATTTCCCGAAGCTTTTGGTAAACCAGCTGGGCAAGTGTTTCCAGCACTCAAAAAAAATCTGTCTTTTTCTGCTGTCACGTTTTGCCTTTGTTTTAACATCAGTGTCGCACGGCTCCTTTCACTAGGCAGGCAGGCCATTGCTGTGGACCACATGCTCTCAAGTGTGAGCGTTTGTGAGTTTCATTCCATAAATACTCCAGCAGGGCTGCGAATTAACTGCTATGGAGACTGTGCCGCCTCAGTCCTTTTCCAGGGCGATGAGGAAATATCAGTCAGCCCGGACAACCCCGCACCGCCGCTGGAAAGAGATGAGGGGACCTCCTCATTGTCGGCAAGTAATTGAAAGAGGAGTTCCAAGAGGATGGATCCCGGCTGTCTCGGTGGTGCCCAGCAATGGGACAAGAGGCAAGGCGCAGAAACTAATGCACAGGGAGCGGCCCCGGAGTATGAGGACGAACTCAACTGTGCGGGTGACCGAGCACTGGAACACTGTCCGGAGAGGGAGCGGACTCTCCCTCACTGGAGAAATTCCAGAACGGCCTGGACGCACTCCTGCGCCGCGTGCTCTGGGATGAGCCTCCTGGAGCAGGGCGGCTGGCCCGCACGCTCCACCGTGCTCCGCCCCAGCCTGTGCCGCTCCGCGACTCCGTGAGCCGCGGCACCGCTCAGCGCCCGCGGCCGCACGGCGGAGGCGGCCCCGGCCGCCCGGAGCGCGGCCCGGCACGGCACACAGCACACAGCACACAGCACACCACGAGGGGCCGCCGCGGGAAGAGGGGCGAGGAGGGGGAGGACAAGAAGCCCGAGGTTACCTCTCCCGGCGCCGGGCCGGGCTGAGCCGCACCACCGCCGCTGCCCGCCCGCGCCGGCCGCGCCGCGCCCCTTCGCCTCCCTTTCCCGTTCCGGGTACGGCGGCCGCCGCGGGGCGGGGCCAGAGCGCCCCACGGCTCTGTCCGCACTCAGCAGCGACGAGGAGCTGGTCCCGGAGCCGCCCCACGGCTCTGTCCGCACTCAGCAGCGACGAGGAGCTGG